GCAAGGAGAAAACCTTGTTTGCTTCCTCGAAGTAAGGTGCAATTTAAAAAGAGGTCTTGGAAACAAACCCGAGTATTTCCTGGATAACAATAGTTAAAGATCATGATCATAAGGTGTTTCTTAATGCACTTTCCATCATCATCGTGACACTTTTTGGAATAAGGAAATTATCCATGGGACAAATGAAAGAAAATGAAAATAAATAAAATAAGACGTACGTATGATTGGAGGAAGACCTTGGGTTATTTGTATTTGCTGGATATTGAATCCCAAAACATATAATGCCTCATTGACAATCAATCACCTCTATATGCACAGAATATATATAGAAAATATATAGACGCATCCAATACACAGTGTACTGTATATATTAGACGTGATTATTCGGAAAGGGCTTCAACTGCGGGATGCCATAGCGTTTGGCAAAGGTCTGCGACACGCTGCTGTCGCCGCTGAGCAGGTTCTCCCATTCGTCGTCCAGAGAGGCGACGCCCGAGTGGCCCAGTGGCGGCATCACCACCGCCCTATTCATGATGGCCGGCACGTAGCGGTGGTGGGACATGGGCAGGATCCCGATTTCCGGCATCCTCAGAGACGACGACGTGTCTGTGGCGGTGGTGGTGTTGTTTGTTTTCGTCGCACTCGTTGTGCCTGTTGTTGTTGCTGTTGTTGTTGTTGTGTTGTTGGTGGTGGTTGTGGTGGTAGTCGGTGACTGATGATGATGATGATGATAGTATGTGCTGATGGGCGAATGCAAGTACTTGAGACGGGCCTCTCCATCAGCAGGGGGCACCCTGATGTGTGTATACAGTTTAAATATAAATATGCACAGCAAAATATTTAATAAACGAGAAAGCATATATAGTCTATATATAGCGTATATAGATGTCACCAGTTGAGCTGTTGTTGCTGCTGTGAAGGTGCTGGACAGGAATTATTCATCATGGCCGAGTAGGTCTCGTCGTCCGCCTCGTTGCCAGGGTCAAAGTCGGCGTCTCGTTGACCCCGCGACGCAGTTGCCAACTGGTGCAGTCTTGCCAACTCTCTGGCCTGACGCAGGGTTTGAGGATACGGAAACGCAGATTCAGTCAGGCCTGCTGCAGCTGCGGTCGACAATAACTGACTGGATGAGGAGACACTGCTGGCCGACAGCAGATGACACCGCCCTTCAGCAGGGGCTGCCCCCTATATATGCACAGTGCAGTGATATAAAATCTCGTTAATCCCAACAACTTCCTTAAAGATCATCCCGAAAATCAGAATCAGTGTAACGAAAAAATCCATATTGATTTATGAGATTCACGGCTCCGTGATATAGAACATTCTGTGGGGAAACAGATTATTGTGGATGCATCAAATAGTAATGAAGATAAATCCTAAAAGTTCAAACTTCTTTAATAATGGGAAAAATGCAAAATGTTGAATACAGTAGAATCAATCTTTTATTTCAGATCTTCCCTTGCTTGATTTTAATCCAACAAGTACTACAATTTTACAAAATTTGGAGCGGAGAGAAACAGAAATATGCACATGTAAGAAGAGCATTCATTCATATACTGTATACCCATTCGCAGCAGTGTTGCAGAAATATTTTCAGTGGAATGCCTCACTACACATTTTAAAATTTAAGGAACATTGCACTGCATGGCAAATATCCAAATAAGTTGAAAAATATCTGCATATTTTGTTTCTGCGCCAACAAGATTTGGGACAGCCAAAGAAGCTCTCCCATTATTAATGCTGGTTTTTCTTTAAACCTCCAGCAATTTTTATTGACTTGGGAGGTTTGCTGTACTGTACTTGGCCAATTTTCCTCTCTTGGCGCATCCAAATATTTCCACGCCATTTATTTGGCCAAACCGAAGTGTACTAAACCGCAAAAAAAATAATAATCTGGCAATTCAGTGGCTGGAGATTTAAAGAACTTGGTGAGGGTATGTTCCCTAATACTTTTCCTTTAAAAATTGGTGATTTAGAAATTCTTGAATAAAGCGGATACAATTTTGATTCGAGCTTCATATACTTATCATTCCTAAAATGCTAAATGTCCTAAATAAACAAAAAAGGCGAAGAACCCACTAAACAGTATATTTATATATTAACAGCCAACTTACACGTGCTTGAGGAACATACTGTTGCCCTGTCCCATAATAAGAGGCCTCTCGCGCATCATCGCCAGCATAATGTTGGTCGTCGTCGTCGTTGATGTCACCGTCTTCCTCGTCACTCGAGTTGATGGGCACCCCCCACTGTTGCGCCCACTCCTTGTTGAGGTTCGTTCCCTTGCTGGCATCGTCCAATGTCCAGTGTTCAGTCCCAGGAAAGGTCATTCTACTGCTGTGAGACCTGGCTAGAAACACAGCAGCAGCTTCTTCTTCTTCTTCTTCTTCTTCCTCATCCCCTGCTGCTGCTGCTTCCAATAACTGTCCTCTTCCTCGTCGTCGTCGTCCTAATTGCTGCTGCTGGTCCTAAAAATAAAATAGTAACAATGAGAGAGAGAGAGACCTTTTTTTAAAAAAAAAAAAAGGAGGATCAATGGAGAGGAAAAAAAAAACTCTCAGTCAGCACCTGATTATGATGTTGCTGCTGATTATTGCTCATCATCTGTGCACTTGAATGATGCTGCATCAGTTGCTCCTCGTCTGCAGTGCCCACCAAGTCGTCGTCCACCCACTGGTCAATCTCGTGACTCAAGTACTTGTCATCCTGCTGTTGCTGATGCAACTCATCATCATCGTCGTCGTCGTCGTCATCAGTCATGGCATTATTATTGTCTCCAGGAGTAGGTTGTTGTTGTTGTTGTTGTTGTTGTTGATGCTGCAGACGTTGACTGTCGTCCAAGACCTCGACAGACTCTGCCACCGTCTCGTCGTCGCTGGCACCGACGATGCTGGTGCTGCTGTTGCTGTTGGTGCCTCTCATCATCATCATCGTCGTCTTCATCATCTGTCTCCCGCCTGCTGATGCTGATTCATCGTCCATCATCATCCTCAGCCCGGACGAAGAAGACCTCATTTCCCTGCTCCTCCTCCTCCTCCTCCGATACTGCTGCTGCTGGTGGTCATCCCGTATGCCATTGCTGCTGCCGGGCATCAGGTCCAACATGCTTTCCGGGGCCAGGTAGTCCCTGCGGGTCAGGGTGCCGTCCTCGGCACTGATGTCCTCTTGCAGGGAGTTGCCCAGCTGGTTGAGACTCGCCTCCGTCCAGTCGTTGACCGAGTTGTTGTTGTTGTTGTTGTGGAGGTGGGTGCGAGACGACAGCGTGTTGATCAACTTGGGCGCGTCCTTGTGGGTCGCATCCTCGTCCACATTGTCCTGCGTGGCGCCAGACAAGTCGCCGTTGGACGCAGCTGTTTTAGACAAGTCAATAAGCCGATAAAATGCACAAACCGAGATAATTACAGCACTGTAAATACTATATCAAGAGTATGCTGCAAAGCACCGATTTTTCCGAGAAGGGTTTAATCCTGCTGCACGCAGCAAATGGAAATGGATGGAAAATATAGGAGACAGTAGATGCAATCTATATAATTTCCCGCACACTCGTAGATGTCACTCACTCCTAATGATGACATTGTTGTCTCGATGCTGGTGGTGCTGGTGCTGGAGCTGCTCGAGCTGAGACTGGAACACGGGCCCCGGGAGCTTTGGTACCTCAGTGGTGACGACGTAGCGCTGGGTGCCATGGTCGCCCGCCTGCAAAATGACGCCGCACGTGCCGTCCAAAACGACGCCCTTGTTCCGAGGGCGGTCCAGCCAGGACGGGAACGAAGACGCCGATTCCGACTCGTCCTGCTGCTGGTCATCATCCAGCTGGTTGTTGAGTCGTCGTCGTCGGCTGCCAACAACTGCTGCTGCTGCCGGAACTGCTGCTGTCGGAACTGCTGTATTGCCACAAGGCACTTGTGCCCTGGTGATTTGCGACTTGTTCACAGCGAACTCTCTAGACGACGGCAGACTGGCGAATCCTTTTTGTTTGTTTTTTGTTTGGGTTCAGAGAGCAGGACAATAAATGCACAAACGTGAGCGTTAGTGTTTTAGGAGTCCCTCTCTTTTATTTAAAGAAGGGTTTCTTTTTTTTTCAATGTGGCGAATATAAATGAAATGAGCTGTAAATCATAGACCGTTGAAAAATTACTATGATAATAGTTTGGGTGAAATTTGAGGCATACAGCAGTATTTTTAAATAATCATTCAATTAAAGCTGTTCACATGCTTTGTTATATCCACAAGTAATCTCATACTTATAATTTAATCCACTGGTTGAGGTATTGTGGGCAAAACTGGTGTTTGAGCTGATGGATTTTAAAATTAAATCACCAAGAGGGTGCGTGCCAAGGTGCAAAATGAGATTTTTGAAAATATTCAACAATGAGAGCAGGTAACATGTTGAGGGTCCATGAGTAATCTTGTGCTTGTACTCAAATACACATGGTTTTTATGGTAAGATAATGTTTTCAATTGAAGTTGATCAAAAATGCAAGCTCAAGAGTCTGAGTGGAAAATACTGTATTGCTATTTTTTCGCTGATAATGAAACTCCAGATTGATTCGCTCTTGAACAAAATGTAGGGAACGCAGAAAAAGAATTGCTGTAGAGAACCTCTTATTTATGATGGAGAATCCCATGTGGTCCCCCACACACAAAACTCGGTATATACAGAGAAACTCGTTGTATAGACAAGGTTGTTGCTGTTGTTGTGGGAGAGAGAAAGAGAGTGTGTGTGTGTGTGTGTGTCCACCTGTTACGTATTACAAAGTGAAACAGATCTAACCGTCAGCAGAGTCGGAAGACAAATCTTGAGCAGAGTCTTCAATGTCAAACGACTTGTTGTTCTTCAAGGCATTCAGCAGTTGGTTGATGACGCTTTCCCCGGGCTTTGCAGCACTGCTGCTGCTGGCTGGTTCTTCTCTGCGGTTGGTTCCTGCTGCTGCTGCTGATGGACAAACTGTGCCACCAAAAACGTCCTTCTTCACCAGTTCAAATTTGGGTTCATCGTCAGAGGAAGAAATGCAGGGCATGGCACCACCACCACCACCACCACCAGATGCATCTAAATAACCAGCAGAAGCAGATTCAGAGCCTAGCTTCTCAGAGTGCTGCTGCTGGTCCTGATTGCTGGCTGAAGAAAGAATGAGGCCTTTTTCGGAAGAGAAAACGTCTCTGGGCTTCAGTTTCACCATCCCTTTGTTGGCCACCTGCGATTTGCAGATACGGAATAATATAACGAGAAATTAAAAAAAAATAATAACCCCCGTTCATGACACAGTTTACAGAGCTTTTCAGACATTTGACGTGCTATGTTGATTATTCTTTCAATTCTGTGCCTCACATTCAATCAAGACAAAATTGGTTTCTCTCGAACAATTATTCCAGAGGATAAGGAGTACATCTAAACACCTAACTAGACATATTTTAGCTTTTGAAATCATTCTCAACTTATCAATCCATTTTGAAGTATCAGGTGATTTCTTCGACAATTTTCTTTCTTAATTTTTCGACACAAAGGGACATTTTGAGGGATGAACTGGAAATTCATATTTAAATTGACATTTTTGCTGCATTACACTGTTGGCGACGACCCGATATTTAAAAAAAATGGACATGTACAGAGTCCAGGACAAAAGTTGAGAGAGAAAAATAACTAAACTTTAATACGTACTTATTTACCTCGCTTTCAGTTTTAGCAATTTTTTGCTTTTATTAAATTTTGGGTTTGTATGTTTGTAAAAAAAAACAAAACGAAAGACACACGTGCCTCGAGTATGTGCTGAGAGGGTATTTTGAAGTTCTTGGTGACAGCTTCGAGTCTGGCCTTGAGCTCCAAATGCCGGTCAATCGGCAGGGTCTCAAAGGTCAGCGGAGGACCCTTGTTGAGGGCATCGGCAGCAGAGAAGGGCATGGCACCCCGGGGTTCCCTGCTGCTGGTGCCAATAGTGGCCCGTTTGTCTGCACTCTGCAGCAGTGCCTGCTGATGACCCGCAGACACCAGCAGTGCTTGTCTGGTCGAGGTCAAGGTGGTGAAATCAGGCCTGCTGTTGCTGCTGATGGGATCCGACTGCTGCTGATTATGCACAGAGTGATCCACATTCCGACGAGATGTCGTCAGCTTCTCCGGCGTCAATCCAAGCACTTCAGCCCACTTTTTGTGGTCATCGCCTCCTGCTGCTGCTGCTGCTGGAGAAACTGGAACAGCAGTTGATGCACCTGCACCTGCACCAGCAGGAGTAGCTGAAGGCACTTCTGCAACAGGAGCTGGAAGCTTGCTGGTGATGGACTCTGAAAGCAGGTCTTGAAAGTCGGCCGACTTGAGCCAGTCTTTCAAGACAGTGACAACCTTGTTCTCAAACTGGGCACTGCTGTTGTTGTTGTTGTTGCTGCTGCTGCTGCTGCTGCCCATTGATTCCTGCTGATGGTCATGATTGTTGCAAAATTAACACTTGGATGCTGCCAAGTGGCAGGTCAATTTCCATTTATTCTGGGGAATTTGTGCATGCTTATTGTGCGCTTCGGGTTAGACTAAAGATGAACACCAAAATGCAAATTTGGCTGAGCATAGCCAAAGCTCTGGAAAAATCCAGGAAAGCAAAAACCATTCTTTTCCAAATCCTTCAATGCCAATCCTATGGCATGAAAAAAATTCCACCCAGCAGTAATTTGTTTTTCGGCAAAAAAATTTTTTTGCAGGAATTTAAAAAATTGGGATTTTTTCCAGACTATATGGCTCTTCTGATTGTGCTTGGGTTTTTTTCGTTTACCTGCGGCGCAAAATTGTGCAAATGAATCCTGACAGTGCTGCCCAATAAGGGTTTAAAAGAAAATTGCCGTGGTTCAGCAAGTAGGGTTAAATATAATTTAACATGCTGTGTTACTCAACCTGAGGTGGCTCAGTGACTAAAGCAGTAGTGCTGATGCAGGGATCCTCAGGCCTGTTGGTCACCAGCAGCACTTCCGTCTGCACAGCTGCTTCTGAATGTATTTTGGCAGCAGGCTGCAACAACGCCTCATCCGTCATGATGATTTGATCTTTGTTCACAACCAGCACAGGAGGTGCTGCTGCCTGCCGTGGTGCTTTTTCCGTGATGATGGATTCATTAGCTGTAGCTGGTGGTGGTGGTGACTCGACGTTCTTCTCCTGCTGCTGCTTTGGTTGTTTGTCCTCACAACCGCTGAGATTGTTCAACAGACACTCATCAATCAACTTGGTGAGTTCTTTCGTCCACGACGTCTCTTGCAGATTCGGCTGCGAGAAGACGGACTCCTCAGAGGACACTGCTGGTGGTTTGCAGTTTGGACTGAACTTGGGTTTCACTATGTTGATGGGGTTACAACAACATAACAATATAACAAATCGACTGTGACACTGATGCTTGAAGGTTGTGTTCAGAGCTTCACCCACCGGCATTGTGATGATTGTGAGAGGGTTTCGGCGAGATCATCCTCTCCCTATTATTGTACAAAGGCACGATGGTGTCGAGTGATTGCTGAGTCTGGTAGTAACAACTCGACTGGACAGGGAAGATACTTGGCATAGAGGTCTGCAAATGAAAAAAAAAAAATTAAAATAAATAAAAGCACAACGAGTTTATCAGGTGCAAGCGACATCTACTAGCACACTAACAAGTTATAGCGCTTTAATTTTCAGGGAGAAGTTTGAAAACTTGCTGAACATTCTTGTGAATGCTGCGTCAAACAGCAAATGAGGCCTGCATATGAAATCCAAAAAATGTACTGTGTGTCTCACTCACCTGAGTGTAACAGTGCTTGGGAGAATGTCTCAGAGGAACTATCCAGTCTTGGGGACTGGGATGGGGTTCAGCAGGTGAAACATAACTGTAACAACTCTTTTGTCTGGGTGGGAAAGTTGCCTGCGAACTTGTCCTTGCTGGAGCCCTGCTGGTGGTGGATCCCTTGGATCTGCAGGACCATTCATCAGCATCTGGCACCAGTGCAGCCCGATGACCACGTCTGCTGCTGCTGCTGCCATCTATGGACACTGCTGACTGCTGCACATGCAACTGATGAGATGAATTAGCAGCATCATTCATTATTATTACTTTTTTTGGCTTGAAGTTCTCACCTGCTTGCCACTAGGGCCACGGCTTCTCTGCTGAAGCAGGTCCAACTTGCTCACATCTGCTCGTTTTCCCACTGCATCTCTGGCTTCCACGACCTGCTGCAGGTTCTTCTTGAAGGATGAAATAAGCTTCGAAATAGTCCTCTTCAAGTCCACATTGTCTAATTTATTATTGCTGCCCAATGCTACAGACAAGTGTTTTTGTTGTTGGTAGTGGTGGTGGTGCTGCTGCTGCTGCTGCTGATGCTGATGCTGCCATCTCCCGGCCTCGGAAGGCACCCAATTGTTTTCTGTCGTCTTGGAAAAGTGCATGGATACGTTTTCTAAATCAGTTTCCAGCAAACACTCTATACAATAATCAGCATTAAGTCATTATGAATGGAAGATCTTGCATTCGTTTAATGGAGCATTGGTCCAAGTTCCAACGCTGGCTTCGTTATTCTAATTAGACTCTGGAAATGATGGTAAAGGTGGGTGCCCCGCAATATTTGACCTGAATCCCTTATGGCTGATGGAATAGGGTTGAATTACGAGACAATGTCGAATGGAATGTTTTCTAAATTGTATTATTTGCATCTCTAAGTGAGTCACTTTGGGTTTGGTATAGAATTCGAATTGCCAGCAATTGATCTCCCAGCCAATTCAACCATCAAATTGCAGGGTGTGGTCAAAATGCAAGGTAGCATGTGTACCTATCACACTAGCTTGTGTGTGGTTTTCTAAACACACAATTTTTTCAATTTAATTTCGGAACATAGGCTTGTATATACCCGGGTTTTGAACAGCTTGTGATGCACAGTGCCAGATGTCGCTTCAACCACTCCCAGTAGATCAGCAACAGTGGTAGTAGCAACAGCGGGGCCTTGAAGTCCAGTCGATGCTTGGCACCCGCAACACCCCAAGGAGGCAACAGGGGTGAAATGGTTCGAGCTTCTGACCCGTTGATGCCAGATGCCGCGAATGCTGCGCGTTTGCTTCGGCACATGTAGGTGTCGCTCCTGCTGCTGCGGGTCGCCTCCACCTGGCCTGAAACACCTACACGCCGCGTCACGCTGCTGCTGGCCAGGGCCATGACCAGGGCCAGCTTCCTGCGCATTGAATCGCTTCAGCAGTGTTTTGAGTTCTTCCAGCAGTTCTGTCCTTCGGCGCAATTCGGATTCGATGGCTTCGTTCCTCAGGCCAGCAATCTGTCGCAATTCCTAATGTCAACGAATAAAAAGTACTGTAGTATTGTATGTCTATAAAGCAGAAGTATCTGGAAAGAATTTACCAGCTGGAAAATATCTGCCAACTCAGCCAGTTGCCTCTCATCCAGGGAACTCATGATATTTTCTGCGCACTACACCCACTAGCTTGTTCGTTGGTTGGTTTGTTTTCGTGTTCTTTTTTCCTCTCTTCAATTATATTATCCAATGGCGTTTTGCTGAAACTTACTTCACAGAAAGAGTTGGCTAAATTTGCTCCCGGAGAGTAAATGACGAAGAGGGTGGACGATGGGGAAGAGGTCCCCAAAATGTAGATCCAGAGGATAAAATTTTACAAATCATGTGTTCCAGCAGGCTACACTTCCGGTGTATGGAATCAATCACAGAACGTGAGCCGAGGTATAACAATTAAAATTTGCTGTAGAAAAAATTCCCGAGGGAAAACTTTGCTCAGGTTTTTCATACCTCATATAGGCCAGCTTTGATTTAATGAATGCGACCAGCAAATGAGTTGGTTTGCTTTTCAAGTCTTCTTCTTTTTCTTCTTCTTTTTTATTGCACACATAAAGCATAATGGAACAAAAAAAAGCCCCCTTTTAATGTCATCCTCGAAAGGAAACTTCAAATGTTGTAGTGTTTTGTGATGCACTTGAAATTGACGCATGAGGAGTTTCCAAAAATGGTCTACATATTGAATCCTGATGCCCTGCCCAAGCAGCAATTGTCCCGACGAGAGTCACAGCAGCAGTGCCAAAATAGTGCATGACATTTCCCAAGGTGTCGCCCTCAGTGGCAGCGCCAGCCAGGAATTTCGAATTTCTCAGCCACGGCTGTATCACAGCTCTGACCGCAGATGTCACTAGTGAGGATCGTTTCATGGTGGCCACGACTGGACCTGCGAGCAGTCGGTAGCCCGTCATGGCCGCTGGCTGCGACTGGCAAAACGTGGCTCCAAATCGGGATTCTGTGCGGAATTCAGCCAGTCCCATTTGGTCCTATACATGAGGGAAAGGATGAAGAACAAATAATTTATATGCAAGTATTTTCATTCTACCAGCATAGCCTTCAATCGATGGCAGCACACATATTGTGCTGAAATGTATGATTATAGCCAAAGGCTTTAAAATTATAAATAAAAACTTATTTGATCACAAGATTTTTGCAGAGAAAGTGTGCCTGCTTTTGTTTCCTTGTATCCTCATTAAATAACTTCCTAATGCGAGAAGAAAAAAAGGGAAAACGACGAATCTGATACTTTTCCGCTCTTGGATTTTAAATACCTGTTGGGATACAATTGGCCAATTGCAGTAAAATATTGAAAAAATGAACGTAATACACTTGAGTTATAGACTTACATTACAGTGCAGTTTGTGAAGCAAGATGAATTTGATTCTCAGCTGATCATACAGTATAAATGGCGTATGGAAATACTGCAGTATAAAATGGCAAACCACTGCTGCCGTAGACGAGTGCAGTTGAAATAATGTATTTTATTTTTCAACTCTCAACCTTTGTTTACCAAAGAGTCTTTTGAGGAAATGGAGTAAAACATTCTGGGGCCTTCATCATAAGGGCAGTAATTCATTTTTGTTGGTGGAAGTTGCGATACAGTACAGTACAGTATTTTCAGAATTTCACCCGGGGAATGGTGAAAAAAAAGGAAGAAAAGAAAGAGCGACATCTGCCTGTCGTTTTAGCCTCACCTGGCGGAAGAGCTCAGTGCAAACAACCGAGTAGGTGGAGTGGTACTTTTTGAGGAACTCGCCGGCTGTTGCGCCGCAGAAGGAGCCGACCCCGGCTGCACACGCAGGCGTGCAGGAGATGGTGTCCAGGAGCAAGATGGCGCGGTATGCTACACAGGCCATGCAGCCCTCGAGACGCCCGAAGCAGCCCATGATGCTCGGCAGTCCTGCCACGATCATCTTGGACACGAAGCCCGGCTTGATTCGCTTCTGCTCGTAGGAAAAGGGCACGTCAATCCTTGCTGCTGCTGCTCCTGCTCCTGCTCTTGGACCAGCAGTTTTATTGTCTAGTGGCTTTGACCTCACGAGATGACGCCTCCTACCTCGCTTCATCACTTCCGGTGCCCGCTTGCGTCTTAAAACCTTTTAGGAAATCCAACCACGCTCACAGTTATGCATGAAACAACGAAAAAAGTAACATAAGTAAAATGATCTTCATTATAGCCAGAGTGCATCACACGTTTTCACCTTCTTTCCTAAAAAAAAAAATAAAGAAGCATTTTCATTTGAAAAAGATTTTGCAAGGCATTATGTTTCACCGAGTTGCATGAAGATGTTGCACATACAGCAGCAATATTTCAGAAATGTCTCCACGCTACAAGTTTAGATGAATGCTTGTCAGCATTTTTCAAAATAATGTCACTGCTTTCATGAAGAGTTACACTCATCTCCAAGGTTACACCCATTTGAATAATCTACTGACTATTACATTCCTAATGACTGAATTTCTAACGTTCAGGATTAGGAATTACTGTACAGTACATATTAAAACAACTGATTTAGCTATACTATTACAGTACCATATTTACACGCTTAACCCATGAACACCTTTTTTTTTTTTTAAACGGAGACTCAAGACAGAAAAGTGGAGTTGGTGGGATAAGAGGGTAGACAATTTTTTTCTAAAAAGTAAAAAGCATACTGAAACCATATTGGCGTAAAAAGTGTGTCTGTTTAAAAAAGTTTGACTGGCAATTCTATTTTGAATCAATTCTTGAAGTATTTTTTTCTATTTTAAGTACACTGTATGAGATTTCTTAATTAAAATTGAAAATGGGGGGTTGACATTTTCAACCAAAAAAGCTAGGTTGAGAGTTAAATGTCGGTTTTGGTCTAGTTTTGCGAGAGAAACAAAAAACAACGAAGTGTGGGCTATACTTGAGTAAATAGGGTACTGTACTGTAAATGATGGATAGGCTTGAATCATGGGTCATAGGGATTGATAATATAAATACCCTTCGCATGTCCTCTGGTGAAAAGTGGGCCTTTGAAAACTTGTGAATGCAGGCGTCCGTAGTGGGACTTTCCAGTCCAGGACAAACCAGCTCCAGGACACTGTGTTCCTCATCGTCGTCACCGTGTTCAATATCAGCAGCACACGTGACAGAGAGTTGATAACCAGCTGCAGTAGGGATGACAACAATGTCGGGCATTTCCTCGAGTGGCCACCTTGCTGCAGTCGGTCTGAAGTTGAAGGGGTCGTCGGCAGACACGGACAAGACGGGCCGAGGACACGCGGCGCGGGTTGCGGAAAGGTGCCGGTAGATGTCAGCCACGGAGTCGGGAGTCAGGTAGTGACAGTCGGCCAATGACCGGGACGAAGGATGAGCATCATCATCATCAGTCGTAGTTTGTGTTTCGGGAAATGATGTGGTATCTGCTGTATTCGTGATTTTGTAAGACGTGGTGCCGGGATTGGAGTTGGCGGTGCGAGTGACGGAGAAGACGCCGTCTGTGAGCCAAGGTGAATCCTTGAGCACCACCATCAACCCAGCTGCTGCTGCTGCTTCTGCGTAATCCTGAGGCAGTCTCGACACAGTGACAATGTCCACTGCTGTCCCGTTCCCCGCGTGAATGAGGAGGTCGGAAAAAGTATTACTACTTGCTGCTGCTGTTGCTGCTGCTGCAATAAGAACAGCGTCGTGGACTAGACCAGCAGACACGCCACACGAGGCAGACGTGATGTCTGCAAGAGTCCGGTAGAGGGCGCGTCGCGAGGCCTGGAACCCAGCATCAGCAGCAGCAGTAGGAAAAGGAAACTGCGTGTGGATCCGGACAGGATACGACCAGATGTCGCTGCTCTGCTGAACACCGTCGTCCTCGGCACTAATTGTTATTCTTTCTTCATCATCATCATCGGCATCATCGTCGTACGTCGTTTTGCCAGCAGCATCAACTACTAATAAGTCCCTTCCGCCGTCCAACCCTGCTGCTGTTGAGAGTCGTAGAGATGCGTCATCCAAGAACAACTCGGTGACCTTTCCGGGAGGCAATCGGCCGATAAGAGACGACATCTGTCCAAGTCCCTCGTTACTATTCTGTTTGATCCATAAGATCCCAATTTTGCCTGGTAGACCGGAGATGGTTTGCACAATAAGGTGCTCGTGCTCCTGCTGCTGTTGCTCAGCAGTGTCATTAATTTTGTTGTCTTCGTTGTCCTGGTTGTCATTTTTCTTGAGCACCAAGGGTGACTCTGTGTGTATTTCTCGAAGCAACGGCGCGTAGAGTTTCTCCCAAACATGAGCAGATGTCGGGTCCAGCACCGGGACGAGAGTGTCGAACGCGCCGTGTTCGTGATACTGTCGCATTTTCTGTGCTGTCACTGCAACCAGGGATTCCCGGTCCCCGGCCAAAGACACGATTGACTGGTTTCCTCTGTCAAGCACTGATCGCAGCAAAGGGAACGGGGAAATGAATTTGACATCCGGGTATTTGGTGACGAGATCTATCATCATCGGAGAACCCTGATGAAGTTCCTCGTCATCGACAAACCCGACGAATGTCCGCACCCCAGATTTATACAACCCGTGCAAGTCGACCAGCGTGGCTGCTTGAGCAACGCCTTTGCGTTGCTTTGACTCGTGCTGCCATCTGCTGGGGAAAGTCAGTCTTGTCCCTGGCAATCGATCCAGCGCAACCTTTGCTGCTGCCTTCCAGCAAGGGCTCAGTTTTGGTAACAGCCACCCGACTTTCCTGTCTTTGTATTTATACAAAAATGTTCTTTATTTTCATGCAAAAACGTAGACTTACTTTTATTTCATGACTAATTTTCATGGTCTCTTTTTATTGTACAAAGAAAGGAAAGAGAATAAGGCAGTTTGAAAATGGTCCAAATGTAATCCTTCTGTCCAATTGCAGGGGCTACCTCCTATTCTTCATTGCAGCAATGTATAACTATGAAAGGCCATCATTCCATGAAAACATTTTCAGTGACGACAAATTAAAATGGAAAAAGTTTCCTAATATTCTTGACGCTTGTTTTTGTCCCTCTTTTTGAACATAAGAAAATGCCTCTCAGAGTTTTGAATGCTTGTTTTTATGAAATAAGGTGCGAATAGAGTTTCTGAACACAAACCAGTGAAAGATTAAATTAATCTGGTTTCGTGTGTTCGTGTAAGAACTTCAAGGTCATTGGAGAAAGACTAAATGATTTATAGTCACGTTTGGTACACGAATTTTCATTTTAATGGAGCAGAGTAGAACACAGAGGATGTCTTTTTCAATTAAACGTACACAGTACAAATATATAGGGTGAAAATAATTTCATCAAAGCAACCACAAAAAAAGGATTTTCGTCTTGCATATGAAAGACCATATCATCTTCGTTTCCGTTTAATGTTGAAGAAAAAAGAATCCTGGGATTTATTTAAAAAAAATTATAATCAGTACTCGTTTATTTCCAATTAAAAAAACGTAGCAGTCAGAAGAATATTTTATGA